GATAGATAGATAGATAGATAGATAGATAGATAGATAGATAGATAGATAGATAGCGTTAATTAAACTTGAGCAAATATTTATCTTCTTAAGTATTAATAATATCCTTATGTCAAACATGTTGTAAGGACGGTCTTAGTTTGTCCAGCACAGTTTCAATTACATTTAGCCCTACGTATACATCTTGTTTATTCTTTTCTTTCAATCTCAGTCTGATAACAAATATAAACGAAAGTATATGAATCTTGTCGCTAATGAAAGTAAGCTTTAAGGGATATATATTGGTGCAGTTTTCCTAGAGATGCCGGTATTCAAAAACGATAGTGTCACGACGTGAAGATCATGCCTAGTGTCCAGTGCGTTGTTCATTGTCTCCCTAGAAGCTATCACAACACTACTTCCTCACAAAATAAAAGCCCTGTAAAAAATGCAAAAAATACTAATATACATACTACAGATTATTTCCTATTGATATTTTTAATCAGCTGAGTTTTGTTTGGCGTAAGGCCAAACCGAAGAAAAGGAGGTGATAAAGATCGTGCTACTTTGAAAATCTGTTTTCAAAATCCTGGTGATTTCACGTGACCTCAGAAACAAAGTACAGGTATCAATGGGAAATAGGCAACTACCTCAGACACCAGACAAGCCACACATTACGGACTGTGTTTTCTATTTTATTATGATTCTTACTTAATCGACACTGCTCAAGACAAAGATACTTTTATTTTATTTTTTTTTTTTTTTTGAATGGTCCCTCCTAAGAGAAATGCGTTTGACTAATTCATTTTAATAGACTGAAACTAATCAGATATGTGTGCGAGAAATGTGTTTGTTGCATTATTGTGTTGATTGTGTGTCCATGTTCCACCCGACGACGTCACAAAGTCTATTTGCGTTTAGTAGTCGTGCGGAGCTTTCGTGACTGTCGTTAGCTGCCTTGCGCTTCACTGGATGTAGTCGTCATTGTCCATCGTCATCGTAGACGTCGTCGTCGTCGTAACTATGGCAGCAGCTCTCCCCTCCCTCTCTCTTTCTCTCTCTCTCTCTCTCTCTCTTTATATATATATATATATATATATATATATATATATATATCACTACCTCTACATTACAACATGCTCAGTGTATCTCTTCTCTTCCATTGTTTGTCTTTTTTAGCTCTAAGTAATGCAACTGCTTCTCTTCTTTCTATTTGTTGCATATCTCTCTTTCTTTCTCTCTCTCTCTCTCTCACTCTTACTCTCTCTCTCTCTCTTTATCGTTGTTTTGTACTTTCTTCTTTTCTCATTTTTACTTCTCTCTTACTAAGTTGTTTGCATCTCTACTTTCTCACACTCTTTCAATGATTTTCCATTGTTCCATAAGCAGTCTTCTCTATGATTTGCAGGCATCGCATTAGATAAGTCATAAGAGAAAAGTATACATACATACGGGTTGGGAGGGTACTGAAAAGTTCTCGGTGTAATCCACTTTCAGAAATCACTATTGAACTTACATCACAATAGTGCTATTTGCAAATAAGTCGGTCTGAGAAATTTCTACACCCTATGATATATATATATATGTCTGTGTGTGTGTGTCTGTGTAACCTTAGAAATCTTTATATACAATGTCATTGAGAGTGCGTGTGTATGATGCAGAGAGTGAGAGAGAGAGATTGAGTGAGAGAGAGAGATACAGATAGATAGAGAGAGAGAGAGAGAGATTGAGTGAGAGAGATGCAGATAGATAGATAGATAGATAAAGAGAGAGAGAGAGAGAGAAAGACAAAGGGAGAGGGTAATGAAGCCATTTTGTACGCCGGTACTTATGTATGTTCATAAATATATCTTTCTCTTTGTCTCTCATTTTCCCAATTTATTTTTTGTCATTTTTATTCATTGTCTCGTTCTCTCTTTCTCCCACCGCCGTCCATCTAACGCGCATACATATATACATTTATATATATGTATACATATTTTACATACATAATCTTTAAAACGTGCTTATAAGGATCTTAAATGTTAAATCAGCCGTAAACACATACCTCATTGCACAGGCAAGTTTACAAATGTCTGCATTAAAAAGTATTTTGCAGTGTGTGTGTGTGTACACGCTGACTTAGGTGCTTATAAGCATACACGTTGTATGTCAACAAAAGTTACACATACGCGGTCTTACATAGATTTTAACAAAATCAAACTTTTTTTTTAACAATCTCATGCATTTTTTAACATAAATATTTGAACAGATAAATAGAGAGATTTTGGTTCTGAAAAACACGCATAATTGTGCAAGTGCATTTGAGGAAGTATAATAAAATTCCTGTTCATTTCAGATGCAAATTTTTTCATGATAACATATATATATATATATATATATATATATATATATATATATATATATATATATATATATATATATATATATATATACTTTCACAGTTTTACACGCAATTCCAGTTTATTCATTATGCACTATCACAGATTTTATTATAAAAGTCAATGACTTCCCAATCAAATTTTGCATTAACCAGCTGACGTCGCTAAAATCTTCAGGACTATTTACATGGACAATATATTGTGAAAGGTTTAGATGATAATATCTGTCTTTATTTAAATATTAATAATAACTTGTTTTATAGATACTAGATTCTGTTATGCAAAGTGCAACATAAAATTCTATTGATGAATCCAAAAGATAAGGCCACAAAACATATTTTGGATTAGCGCAATATATCTGAATAAATCGTTTTTTTTTTATTATTTACATGGGCTTTTACACATTCTGTTAACGTCATCAGTCAAATCATTTATTTTGTTAACTGCTCTTTGTTTCGACTTTGACATTAACATTAATGGAATCATTTTCTTTTCTTTTTTTTTTTGCTTCTCTTATATCTGAGCAACAAGTTTTCTATTAGAACATCTGGGGTCCATTCCATTAATTTGGTGTTTTTGCAACATTTTGTGAAAAGAGGTTCAACTTTCTGCTAATAAACTGAAAAGAAGTATTGTCTTGCATGAATGCGTTTAAATGTTTCTTAATTACGACCACTACCGCCAAAGAAAAAACATCTTGACCAAAAACTTAAATCTATGCATGTATCTTGATACTATCCTCAATATTGAAAGGAACTATAAAAATTACTCAACCTCTCCTTGTCATTTAAATCGTGATGATTGACTATTTTCATAACGGACCCAACTTTTCATCCAGTCATGTCTCTATCCAATGTAGTATTATATTCATCATTTACATTTGCTGTTGATAAATCAGTTTTCATGTATTGTTCTCCCAACTGACACATTTCTGATATTTACTTAAATGCAGTATAGTTTTATTTTCATGACTTTAGCTAATCTTTTTCATATTCTGCATCGTTTCTCTTTGTTTATATTTACATCAACTTTTCAAATACCTTCTTGCTCGTCAAACTATTTTTATTTTTTTTGCTTCTCATTTTTAATTTTTCTCAAATATCTTTTTGTAACATTTTCAGGTCAGTTCTTACATTATTTTTATCATATTTATTTTATCATTATTTTTTATTGGTTTCAGATTTCGCTTGAAACATTTTGCTATTCCTAATGCTGTGTTGCCATCACTCAAAAACTTAGATCTTTTAGGATACATATTTCTTAAGACCCATGGCAATATATATATATATATATATATATATATATATATATATATATATATATATATATATATATATATATATCTTTAAATTAAATGTCAGTAACTATGTGACTGTTTATATTTATTTACAATATGATGAGCAACTCCCGTATTGCAAAAAAACTTTCGCACATCAAGTTGCAGTAATCATTTCTAAAAAACAGATATTATAAGTTGAAATTTACATAGTATATTTATCATATAAGTAAATGCTGGAAATTTGATCAACATCGGTTGGTTAATACCACTTTTGGGGAATAGTTTTTGATTTTCATAATAAAATCGGACATAGTTAAAATACATGAGAAACGAAAAAGCACATTCATAATGTACGATTATCTGATTTTAAAAATGTGACTTTGCTAATCAATAAAGTTTCAATTTGAATTAAGCAAAATTTTCTTGATTTTAGACGTCTTTATAATTTCTACAATATTGATTAGTTTACAAGTTTATTTTGTACTTTCGGTTTTGTGGCTTTGCGTAAAAAGAAAGATTTTGTGTATAAAAACAGACAAGCAACAATAAACAGATAGAAACTGATCCAGTCAGTCTGAATTGAATTAGAGATATGTACATTCTAGGATATATATATATATATATATATATATATATATATATATATATATATATATATATACAGAAAGAGATATACAGATAGATGGCGAAAGAGTAAGAGAGAGAGAGAGAGAGAGAGAGAGAGAGAAAAGGACAAAATAGATATGAACAGAATAAGAAACAGATATGTTTAGACAAAAATTGATCTAAACAAATAATTTATTATATATGCGCTTAAAATGTTAACACATCAATGTGTATACATGTCTATGTATGGTATATATGTAAATACATCTGTTCGTAATTAGATTTATAAATATATATGTGTGTGCATGTGTCACTGTGTGCGTGGGGCTATATGTGCATTTAGAGTTATTTATTAAGCTTTACTTGTTCTTAATCAAGAGAATGGAACCCCTAATGAAAACGGAAGTGAACTCATTAAATAACTTATATAGTTTGTGTGCGCGTGTTTATGTGCGCGCACACGTGTATTACAGACGCACGTGTATCGAATGATGCTTAGCTGTTTTCTTAGAAAAGTAAGAAATCGTCGAAATATCAAAATCATATTCGTGAAAGAAAAATGATAGCATGAACGAGAAAAACCAGGAGAACACAAGAAAATACGATAGGTAAAGGTTAGAACGTAATAGAATGGGCGAATATAAAAGAAAGTGAGAGAGAAAGAAATAAAGATGAGATCGTCAAAGAAAGAAAGAAAGAAAGAAAGAAAGAAAGAAAGAAAGAAAGAAAGAAAGAAAGAAAGAAAAGAAGTGAATTGTCTGGGGAAGACAAATGTGAACAGATGTTAATTAGATCCCTGGGCTTCATCGCAACTAGCGACCATCTTGTGAGGTATAAGTTTCCTGCCCTCAAACAGTGTAACCTGCTTGGGTGAAGACGGGTAACATGACTGACTTACACAACGGCAAGAACAGAGGATAAAAAATAAGGGCCAAATGCCAGTCACTGGGTGACAACCTTTTTACTTAGAAACAGATACATTTGGTTCCAATGGATTCCACATTCACTCGCCAATGTGCGCGTTTTATGGGGGTGAAGGAGAAATAGTCATTTCCGGTGACGCAGTGGAGATGATATTAAATGCCTATGGCCTTTATTTTGCCACTTATTTTCAGATCAGCTCATAGAAATATGTCCCATCTATTTGTGGATTAATACAAACAATCGGAAATATACTGAAATGCTTTAGGCTTTATCGACTTTCCTCAATATGGCCGAAGAACTAACATGTTTTTTCTTTTCTTTTCTTTATTTTATTTTTTTTTTTTTTTTTTTGGCAATCACTTCTGGGTCGGACTGAGAACTTTTCAGTCCCCCTCCTATATATGAAGTTAATTCCTCAGGATTTCTCAATGTGAACTTTATGTTACATACATAAAACAGAATCTGTCTTCAGCAAAATGGGTTACCCAATCTAAACCAGAAGGTTAAATCAAATAATCATGAACAAAAGAAAATTTATCAAATAGTGGATGACTTTACTTCAACAGACTAAACTGTGAAAATATATTTGGATTTTGAACGAGAATATAAAGCACTGTGGAACATGAAGATTGCAAATATAACCATCATTATTTGCGCGCTTACAACGATTCCAAACAGCCGGGTTAAAAAAAAAAAAGATCCTAAGAAAGAATCAAGGCCATCCACAGGAGAGCATTACTAAAAGTATCAGACTAATTAGGAGACTGTTAGAATATTGAGGAGATTTGTTGTCACTTTATATTCAGCGTAATCTATCTCATATTATTCACGAAAAAAAAAATATCGTACACTATTCAGAAAACTGGTATGAGTAAAAACCGCTGTGAGGTGACGGTGTTACTTTACTCTGGGACTTCACCAGACACACCAACCTCCCTAGACAGACGATCAGACCAAATATTGCTATAAAAGACTTGAAAGAACATAAATGCTATCATATTGACATGTACGTACTCAAGTCCGATAAAAAACAAAAAACAAAAATAAAACATTTCAGTGAAAGAATTTGAAAAACTCTTCATGTGGAAATAAAAATGAATGAGGCATTTAAGTACTGCCTTTATTTCAGTAGTTGTCAAACCGTTAAGAATTAATAATTAAAAAAATAACTGGTACAAGTATTTTAATAAAATCCCAGGAAATCCATTTTAATCGGAAAGACTAGATATTGTGCTAATGAGGTACTGATCATATATTTAGAATACAATACCCCCCCACACACACAAAGAAAACACCTTCGACGAAAGACTAGGTTAATTATTCTATCAGACAGCAAATAATAATAATAATAATAATAATAATAATAATTTAGTTTGTTTTCGTACGTTTGAATATTTTCGAATGTAAAAAAAAATTCTCTGACGTTGTTAATGAAGTAAGGAAAATGAAAGTGACTATATATATATATATATATATATATATATATATATATATATAGATAGATAGATAGATAGATAGATAGATAAAAAGTTATAACATAAGTATGTTAACATCACTACAAAAATAGCCATTTTGTTTCAATACTTCTGGTGTCTTGTCAAGTGATACTGTTGACTTTAAAATAAAATAAATATTTTAAAGAGTTCAAGATCAACCACCATCCCCACTGGGTGGGAGGGTTTTTTTTATGATAATTCAAATAACGCGACAACGGACCCTAGATAGAATTTATTAATGCTTTAAAATTAATATTAGATTTTATAGGAAATCAGGATAACTTATTAATCTACAATTAATTATGTAATTAAAGAATAAAAGTTACGAATATTAAATTCTAAATATAGCCATGCATCAAGTTTAGAAAATTTAAAAAATTTTCAAAGAAAAATACAGAGAAAATATGCCTAAATTTTCATGTATTGTTCTTGGTAATATGTTTTCCGTCCGAATCTGAGCGGAAGTAAGGACTACAAAATTAGTTACATTGACAGGGTCGTGATTAGAGATTTAGTGGACGAGGGAGAACGGTTTATTGGTGACAAGACAGACATCACGTCATAAAACACGTAAATAAGATTGAATATATGAGCGCGCAAATATACGCACGACAAATAAATAGACTCATCAAGATTCAATCATAGAGAACGCAAACTACCCGTCAAAATTGCACAAACATGGAAAATCAATATACAAATATAAAAACATATGCATATACATATATATGTGTGTGTGTGTGTGTGTGTGTGTATGTGTGTGTAGGCATGTCTTTATATATATATATATATATAAAGACGTATACATATATATACACATACATACATAAATACATATATAAACATACATATACAAAACATAAAATCATACATATATATAAATAAATTAATTTTTTTTATCAAATAAATTAAGAAATATGAAATAGAAGGACGTATGTTAGGCTATTAACAACATAAATTAAAGATAAATATATATATAAATACACATTATTTCATCATTATATACCATTATTACTATTCATATCCAAGTATAAATTTATCAGTTAAATTTGATGCTGGTGAGAGGAGTACCAATGAACACAACATATATTAGGCACACCAATGCATGTAAAAGCATATATAAATAATATATATATATATATATATATATATATATATATATATATATACACCTAGTGAGCCAGACAAACCTACCTAGGTTTCACCTAAACGGATCGTCAGGGAAAGTTTGGTATTGAGTTGTATTGAGCTCTTTTGTTAGTTAGTTGTTACTCGTATCGGGTTTTTTTCTTTGGGCTTCAGACCTGCATCTGTGCGATTTTTTTTTTTGTTGGCAGAAGTTCATGTTTGTAGCCCTTTCTTTTTTTAAACCTTTTTTCCCTCGAGATTGATTTGATTAGCAAATCAAAAATTCGAGGGTTTTTTCAAACGAGTCGAGTTATTTATATTATATATATATATATATATATATATATATATATATATATATATATATATATACACGCAACAATAAAAATATCAATAAATAAATAAAAATATATAAATATACGAACATGAATACCCATATACAAACAGATGTAAGTGGACATAAAAAAAAAAACACATATAAACACAAACATACAAACAAGCACCGAAAAAAGTACGCCCATATAGAACAGGAGTAGGAACAAATATACTCGCGTACAAACAAACATCCTTACCAAAACAGCCATATTAAATTTAGAGTCTATGTAGGATTAATTCAACAAGTTACAACTATTCCATAATAACTAAGTAATCAACTTTATATTTAATTTTTAGCAAATAAAGGTAGATAGTAGTAAAAAATTTAAGGACAAAAGGTTTTTTTTACAGACTTGCAATACCATTTCATCTTTGCATACAAGCAAGTTAAAAGATAATTTATGCCTGCAATTAACAGTGTGCTCCTTCCTTTAATTTAATAGGTTCATCTTGTCCTTAAATTTAATGATTTCTAGCTTTTCATTGAGACAGAGATAACACGGTGCATATAAAGAATTACAGGTATGAGCTCTTCTAATTCACTTTAACAGTGGAAGTTTTGTTTTTCTCGTTTAAACTCCAATAGTACTTGGACAGTGAGTTAGCCCGTTTGTGAGAACTATTTTTGAAGGATATATATATATATATATATATATATATATATATATATATTTATATATATTTGTAATAAATAAAATAAGTTAAGAGTAAGTGATATTATTGGAAAATCTGTTAATAAGATTAGATAGGTTCGCTTATCGCCCGGTTTACACTCCTTCTCCGTCTTTTGAAAAGGCTTATCCTTTTTTCCTTTTTAGGATTGGGTTTCCGACTCCTTTTCCTAAAGTCTTATTTTCTTTCACTCCTAGTAAATCCTTGCATCTTAGTGGAATTATCGCCTTCTTGGAGGAAAATGATCAAAAAATATATCAATTTAGTTCTGCTTCTGGTCTAATGCTTAAAATCATCAATCAAGTACTGATTAATACTTAACACAATTAAAATGCAAGATAAACTTATTTTCATTGAAAAATTGGTTTGAATATTCATGTTTAAATGTGTACATTATATTTCATTATCGTAAATGTGAAAATGCGAAGCTTGTATATATTAATATCATTTGGCAAAGTTATGAGCTGATATATATATATATATATATATATATATATATATATATATATATATGTACATGAATATTGTAGTTTGCTACCACTCACCTTCCAAATCATGTGTTATGTTTTTGGGTCTATGTATGGAGAGCATAGAATGACATATACAGACTTTTTCATGACAAGTCGTATAAATTTCGAAACAGTTTTCCAACTTAGTTAACTCAAATTACTTATATAATTACATAATAATTAGCGTAAAATCTATGTCATAAAGAGATGGTTGCTTTATTAATCTCACAAACTATTGTCATACGTTTGACCTGATGTGATTATTCTGAGAATTAAGCCTTGTGTCAAACTGAGTTTATTCTCGTAAATATTGCCCAAACTTTTAGTTTACCACTTTAACTAAGATAGATAGATAATTTCACATACTTTATGGTAAACATGCAGGCAGATTGCAACTAGATGGAAAGTGATATGTTCAAGAATTTAACAAGGCAATAATAAATGAAGATATGCAATTATATTTTACAAGTACTCTGCAAAAATTAAAAGTGTTTCTGATGTCTTGCATTTGGAAGTATTTACGATGAGAGCTCTATATCTAAGACGCGTATATATGTATGCATCTCCTATGTATACATAGCAATAGATGTAAAAGAAAAGAAAATCTTTACATTGCACATGTGTCAAAAGGCACGTGTATGTGTTTAGTGTGTATAT